CGGACCCTTCGCCTGAGTTGCTGTTTTATCCTTTAGCAACAAGTCCGGTTCCCAGATGGGCCCTGGAATTGTGCTCTTCAGGTCTTTTCCCATTTATGAGGCTTTAAACCGACAGCAACGCTTTACTCCATAAACATTCTGGTTCGCCTTACGTTTCCTCCAGTACGTGGGTACCGGAGGAGCCTGCGCCAGTCCCTGCTGCTGGGATGCATCTCGTTCACTCTCCCAACGGAGGCAGCCCGCTTCCTCCTCCACGCTGGATCGGACTGTTCCCCTCTGGTAGATCCGTAGGAGCATGTTTGCAGTAGTGTTTAGATTTTCCTAACCCGAGACTGTATGTTAATGACCGGTGATGTCACCTCCCTGCTAAATTTAGCTTATTAAGCATTATTCACCTTTTTGTAACTAAAGGCCTGTGCTATGTACGCCCTCTTCTTTCATATGTGAAACTGTAAGTCCTATTTTTGACATTTTAATAAACTTGGATTTTGAAAACTGAGGCTCGTGAGAAGATAAGGATATGGTAAAAATATATGTAAGGACACAAACTGAAAGTTTGGAGTTTTAAACCACAAATCATTCAGAGACAGCAGCATCTTTACGTATGTGTAACGAAGGTTGTGCCCAGTAATTCGCACGAGATCTCAGCAACAGGTAAGACCTTCATTCTTGTTACAGTTTGGACAGTTTTGATCAAGACTTTAAAGCCAGATATAAAAAAATGATTAAAAAATTGCAACTAGCTCTTGTAACTAACAGGATTCGAAGGTGAGTAGAAGCGGAGCACTGTGGCTCAAGGGATTTGTGGAACTGTTGGAAAAGTCAGACGTAGCGAAGCATTTGCTCGTTGCCCGGTACGCTGCACCGTAGCTGTATTTTCACCTTACGGCTGTGAATTGGGAATCTCCACTGTAGGAGCTGCAGTGGGGTATTTACTGCCTTGTCCTCGTCTTGTTGTGAGGCGGGCCCCAAAGTACCTCTGGTGTCTCTGTGTTGAGGAATTGTTTCCTTTTTGAGTCCCCGTGCTAAAGTCATGGGTTTGGTTCACTGCCACAAAATGGAGGAGGGCAGGTGGATGGGCATAAACGTGGTCTTCAGCCCATAACGTCTTCGTCAGGAGGTGTTGAGTTAATGCTGTCGGAGTGGTGCAGGTTCTGGTCCAGCTCAGGAGCATTCCTCCAATCCACGCTGTACCTTGCTGAGAAACGTGGCTTCTCTCGGAGCTGGCGGGTAGTTAGAAGTGCCCCACTCTTGTCAGCTCAGAGATGATGGCTGGAAGAGACTACTGGAGGTCTCTAGTCCAACCTCTTGCTTGATCTGGAACTGCTGCCAACACTAGATCAGGTCAGCTGGGCTTTTATCCAGATAAATCTTGAAGAAAAATCCTAAAGTACAGAGATTGTACCCACCTCCTCCCCAGACAAGCTGTTCATGGCTGCGTTATGTTGCTAGTGGAAAAGTTTTGCCGTCCTAATCTCCCAGTCTGTGTTTTTGGCTATTGCCCCTTGTTATCATAGAATCAGAATGGTTTGGGTTGGAAGGGACCTCAAAAATCATCCAGTTCCAACCCCCCTGCCATGGGCAGGGACACCTTCCACTATACCAGGTTGCCCAAAGCCTCATCCAACCTGGCCTTGAACACTGCCAGGGATGGGGCAGCCACAGCTTCTCTGGGCAACCTGCTCCAGTGCCTCATCACCCTCAGAGGGAAGAATTTCCTCCTTGTATCTCATCAGAATCTCCCCCCTTTCAGTGTAAATCCATTGCCCCGTGTCCTGTCACTACACGCCCTCACAAAACGGAATGTTATAATGGTTTAGAACATGTTACAGTGGGTTTCTTGGGTCACTGGCAGAGTCTTCGCCCCAACCCTGGTCAGCTGTAGAGAACTGGGTGCTGTGGATGTGTCCCTGCTGCTGCTGTCCTTACTGGGACTGCGCCTCGAGGCGACTCTGGGACATGACATGTTTCAGCAGAAGGCAGGTGGCGGGGTCGGATGCCGTACTGGGGGGAGAAACACACATATGGTGGCATTCAGCTGGCCTCGGAGCGGGCATTCTCCAAAGAGCAGCACTAAGCCAGGGCACACCAGGATCTAATTCTGTGAACTCCTAACGTCCCTCCTAGGGTTTCACTGAAATTCAGATTTTCTTTTTCGTTGTTTTTCCTGACGGAGGATTTACGAGAACACTTTTTCCACTCAGTTTTCCAACAATGTGGTAATAAAAGGGTCTCGTCCAGGTTTCGTACTGGGGTTGCCAAAACTCGAGCGTGATGTAGTAAATCAGCTCTGAGCTGCGAGTTCTGCTGGTTGTCACCTGGATAATCGTGGATTTCAGTATCACAATCTTCTCATCGGTAGGAAAAGAGGCAAAGAGGGAATGCATCGACTGGTGGAGCCTCGAAAGTTTAACTGGCTCCAGTGTGTTTTCACGCGGGTCAGCAGTAGCTGGGCCCCAGCAAACGCTGGAATTGCAATTTCTTCAGTTCTGTTCTGTTTAAAGGTCTCCCGCAGCCTTTGGATCGTTGGCCGGGCCCCTTTTCAGATGCTCTTTTCGGACACGGGTGGCAAAGCCAGCAGCCAGAAACTGAGGCGTCTCATTTTCACGGATGCGTCGTCACGTTTTCCTTCAGAATTGTGTCTTAAAACTAATTTATTGATACTAATTACTGGTATCTAGTAATGTAATGTGTAAATTACTAATTTACATATCTAGATGCTCTTGTGACCGTCTTTACCTGGGAAACGCCGCTACATCCAGCCACAGGGCATTAACTTAACACAGAGCTGTTGCAGAGCAGTTCCAGTTCAGCACTGGAGTACCAGTACCAGGTAAAGCTAACAACTTCAACACTTACAAGGATGTAAAACCCAGGTGGGAATTGTTTTGGCATTGCTACACAAGGAGAAACTGAGTAAAAGACAACAAGTTTCAGCTTTGCTTTTCCACCAAGGCCCCTTTTAGTCTATTTTGTAAAGAAACTCTGTAGCCAAAACCAGAGCCTCTCTTCAGAAGGAAAAAAAAAACATCCCACAAAATAAAACCCAAGCTGCCAGCAAAGTCAACCTTGATTTTAAAAATACAATAGGACACTCTGTAAGGATCAGTAAAACTGTTTCCCAGTGTCTCAGCCATGCTTCCAGGGGCCGTGCCTGCGGACAAGACGTGCAACAAAAGCGCGCCTGGAAGTTCTGCGTGTGTTTGTAAGATCTGCACCACAACATTATCCGTGCAAGTGTTCAAAGATGCACCCAGTGAATTTCCTCTGCACTTCTGCCACTCGGTGCTATTGCACAACAAATATTTAGAAAGGAAAAAAAAACACTCTTGAGCTACCAAAAGGGAAACGTGGAAAACTATTCCCTGCTTGGAAGGAACCACCTTCAGTTCTTTTTTACAGCTCTCTGTGCTGGGGAAAATGGAGGAGAGTCGCGGCACGGCCCGGCAGCTGTTTGGTGCCACTCAGTTTGGCAGAGGTGGCCCTGGTCGGTGTGGTTCCTCGGATGTCTCTGTGTGTCCCTTTAAAAGGAACATTTCTACTTAAAAATAGGTGTTTTGCGATGGTGGACGTACTGCTCAGTCCTTGTGTGAGAAATGCTTTTCAAACTACTAACAGGGCTTCAGTTCTATTTCTTGAGAGTTGAAAACGTGGCATTTTTTACCCAGGAAATGATCTACAGCATTCCAAGAAGCCTAGTATTGTAGCTTTGCTCAATCTTAAGAGAGGCAATGAGTGTCAAGAACCACGGTGAAAGTGAAAGTGCTTTCAAAATTTAAAGCCATCAAATAATCTACAGAAAGCCGCTGTCTCAAGACTCACGAATTTTATTGAGATGAAAAAACAGACATTGGAAAAGTTCATTTCAAAATTTCTAAATACGATTGCGTAAGACGGCGCGTTCCCGGGTTGGTAAGGGAATGCTGTTGCAGAACACACGCGCCGTGTCCCAGGGTGTGACAAACAAGCACTGGGGACGGCCCAGTTCTCCAGCACGGCATCCGTTCGCCGCCTCTTTCCTTGATCCGCTGTGTCCGACACCTGATGGCAGTAGGAAAACACACAGGGTGGCATTTACCTTTTCTCCCCTCTCTCCCTCACCAGCCTACGTCTTCCTTCTTGTTTTCCTCGCGCCTTCCACGTTGATACTCTCCAGTGAGTCTACGACTAAGTGACTGTGCAGAGGATGACAATATCCTAAACCGAAGGACAAAGGAATTTTTCCCTAACCCTTGATAGCGTGAAGCAGCAATTGGAGACTCGTGCTCCGGTGCCTTCTACTGACCATGTAGGAGCACAAGTCCGTAACAAATGCATCACGGGACAGCGTGGGGTTTGTGAAGTCACAGCTTTTCTCTTCAGGTGCTCAGGACAGAATTCACCAGCAGAAGGTCTGTGTGTTCCGCAAGGCCTTGGAGGCCAAGGAGTGCAGAAGGTTTGGGCTTGGAACGGCAGCAAAAGCTGTCTTGCATTTAATCCCGAAATCGGTTTCCAATGGGAATGCAGGGAATGTGGCACACCACCTGATTTTCCAGGGAAGGACCACGTACTTACACACGCCAACAGAAATCAAAGCCCGTGGGCCACTTTTAATGGCTTTGACACGCGGCAGCATGAACCTCGCAGCCCAGGACAGGTACAATTCAGCATCTTTCTCTTCATGGCTCATATAAATCTGGTTGGTTCTAACTAGCAAGTCAGCTCTAAAGCTACAGAAAACCATCTCGCAGGCCTGCACCTACAACATTGAGGTTGGAATTAAGTAGTCACTTAACAAAACGTCGAGTTTGGAATTAAGTAGTCACTTAGCAGCCAGCAGCCATACGCGGAAAGAGAACCGGGAGTGAATTTGTTTCTTTAAACGCAAAAGAGGGAAACGACAAAAATGTTAATTTGAAAAATGTAAACTAATTATTACTTCCTCTAGCTGCGTGCAGTGCCTTCCAAAATGCTCTGAGAGAGAATAAATGAACAGTGAGAGCAAACCACTCTAACCATGAGGAGCTGTGGAATGTGTAACTTACTACAGCGATGCGGGGAATCCCTTAACCAAAGAAAGCAACTAAAGCTGCGCGGGGCTTTGCACAACCACCACTCCTGCAGGAAAAGATCGCTCTTCTCGGATTGCTCCGCCGCTTACAGCCGCAGAACTTAGTTTTCTTCATCCGAGGAGAGACCTTCAATTTCATCTCTGTCTCCTCCGATTGCCATCCAGAAGGCTTTGGCCACCTAACAACAGAAAAAAAAAGATGGGAAAGGGTGAAAAATACCCCTCAAATGACTGAAGATTTTGCATTTAGCATCCAAAAAGTAGGAACTGAGCAGCAGCTACATCTAGCAACCACGTTTCTAGGTACAATGCTGATCCTCTCTGCAGTTCAGAGATTTCAACACAGAGGCAATAATTTAGAATTTGTGGGAGGCATGTGTGATCCAAAACTTGTGCTAATTAAGGCATGATTCAATTTTCCTTGAGATCACGGTTCTTCCATTGACTTAAGCGGAAGCTGGCTCACACTCTCAGTGTCTGCAGAGCCTTCATTTCAGAAATTGTGAAAGGGGAAAGCATTTCCTGGTGTTTCAAAATTCCAGGTTTGTTGTTCAGTTCTTGGGAGATACGAGACAGTCTTTGCCAGGACTGTGCCATTCGTTCTTACTGCTCTTAATACAGGAACCCCACCAGAGAAGCAGCTGTGGCTCAGAAAGGAAAACCCCGTTTTTCATCATTCCAGTGCCGCTTCCAAAACCTCACCTTTTCCGCGTGTAGTTTTCTCTGCTCACGAGGCAACGTCGCGGCTTTATCTGTGGAAAAGAACATAACTCCGGTTGTCAACCTCAGGAGTGAGCAGGGGGAGAGATGCCTATTGCAGCTGCTTTTGGGGGACTACCAAGAAACTAGTTTAAGACCATAAAAAAGGGATTTTATTTAGTATTTTTATTTCATTTGCAACTCCCAAACACCAGAAGGCTGATGCTTCTGAGCACACTGGGTTCCATCTCAAACATTTGTAGCTTTAAACTGCGAGACTGGCAGGCAGTTGTAGAGCTAAGAAAAAAAATAATCTTTTAGGTTTGCTTATGGAAAACCATGGCATTAGTTCCCAGTGGACAACACCCGTGTGTTAGCAGTCAACAGTTCTCTTCTTTCAAGAGAACTACCAAGATTAAGGGCAAATTAATTAAAAGATCAGCTGCTTATAAAGAACCTCAGACAGGAGAATAGGAATTTGTACAATCTCCCCCAGTGACACACTGACTTCCGTGCCTTTGAGTGGTCGGAGCAGGTGGCGAAGCTCGGGATGTCTCTCCCTGGTACATTACCTTTCATTTCTTTCAGCTTTGAGAACAGCCTTTCAAAGTTCTCCAGGTCACCGTCTCTCGTGGTCAGGCTGGCTAACTCCTGAATGTCCGTATCTAACGTGGGATCTGAAGGAAACACAAGTAGGTTGGTTTAAGGTAGATTGTTCTGTTTTGTCAGCAGGTATGAAAACCTTTCTGATAAAACCAGTATTTTAATGTTTTGCAAATTCCAGCTCCATAGGAGGGAAAAGAAATATTTCATTTACTGACTGTTCACACAGACAACTAGCCCATTTTTTCAAGGCGAACACCTAAAGTCTAAGCAATTAGCCTCTGCTGGCTCTGGCAAGCACATTTATGCCATACTTTCCATTGAGAAGAAGCCAGTGGCTTTCTGGGACCATCCTCGACAGTGGTGCCATCCCCAACATACCTGCCAAGCAGAGAGAGAGCTTACCCACAATGTTGTCAATCTGTAGGCTGTTTGTGCCAGCTCCATCTTCTCTGTCGTCTAAATGGGATTCTTCTCTGTCTGCTGCTGAGGGATTGGACTGTCAGGAAACAACAGGTATTAGAGTACCCAGTGATTCACCTAAAAATCATCATCAGCAAATCAGGTGCTTCCTGTTTTCACTTCAGAAACTCATTCTTTGTCTCAAACCGTTACCTACTGCAAACCTCTGCCGTGTGTATTATGAAAAGCCACTTTTGCAACACTGTGCACAGGTACTGCATGAAGGTTTTCCATGACAGGTTTGTTGCTGTTTTTTAAATAACGCTATCGAGCGATGGTTTTTGTTTTGCACAAAATACTGCTCTTGGATATTAATGAAAAACAACATCTTGAATGGAGCTTCTTGGCTCCAGTGGGTTGTCTGGAGTAAAACATTTGCACAGTGCTGAAGTCAGTGTGATCAACACACAACAGCTCTCCACACTGAGCACACAACCAGCCATCTCCAGGTAAAAGGATGAAGTTCTGAGGCAACGTCCTGAAAAACAGGACCATGAGGTGACAGCTCCCGGGAGCAACTGTCTCAGGAGGACTTGTAAGAAAAATGCAGATAGTTTTTCAGACTTCAGAAGTGTTTCCTTTAAAACACATTCCAGCAGGCTGTGAAGCATCCCTTGAAAAGGTGGAAGAAGCAAGCCTCCCACCACCACCACGCGGAGCCTGACAACAGGAAAGAGCAACACAAGAACCAGTAGGAGCAAAAAACAAGAAATAGGAATTACTGTTTACTTCTGTATCTCGGTTCTCCTCGGACCCAGCGCTGCAGTTGGCACCTGCGAACGTCCTGAGGAGACCAAAGCCCTGGCTCCTGTCTGAAAACAAAGCAGCTGTTACTTGGACAGAAAATGGAATATTATTACAAATAGTTGTAACTGACCACATGGGAGACGACAGAATGTTTCAGGGAAGAGACACAGCACCCTGTAAAACTGTGTCAGTGCGCTGGAAAATTTATTTTGAGCAGAAATTTTTCATATTAAGCTTTTTCTAAACTCTATTAACAACATTTCCTTGTAAATATTACCACCAGGGAATAGACACGTAAGCCACAAGAGATGTGAGCTATTTTTTCTCCTTGTTTGAAGTCACTGCTCTGTTAGGATGTGGTCTGACAAACGTCTTCTGACACCAAACAAGGCACATTTCAACAGAAGCAGCATTTGCTCTTACTGACGTTCAGTGGCCCGGGTTTCACCATCCATGGGAAGCAGCACTGGGTTTGTGGTTAGAATCAGGAAACACAACAAGTGCCTTTGCTGACAGATGGATGGTCTGAGTAGGCTGAGCACTATAGTAATGGCAAAGGCAACTTTGAAATAGCTAATTCAGAATCCAGGGAAGGCCTCAGCCATCAAATCCCATCTTTCTTCACACTGCAAGGTGCTGTGGGCTCTCCACGTCTGCTCACCTACCGTGTGCTTCAACGGAACTTTAAAATCCAACCTTAAAAAAAAACATGAATGCAAACCTAAAACTAAACAATCATCTTTCTCATCTAAGATAATGGATGCAGTACAGTATTTTTAAATTAAACTAACTGTATTTTTAAAACTTTATTTTTTTTTAAATAAAAATATGTGCATAACAGGTGATATTACGGGTTGGATTCTTTTCCTAAGCCTGTTTTCTGCTGGCCTTGCATTGGGTAGTAAATAGTTGCAGTTACACAAGAGACACTGAAGATTTTTCTGAAAATCTTAGCATTTAGTCAACTAAAAAAGAAATACTATTAAGTTATTGTACTGCAAATAGCCAGAAACAATTACTTGTGCCAGAAGAAAGATTAAGATTACTCTTAAAAAAAAAAAAGTGTGGTTTAAATTAATATTACACTAATGACTAAGCTCTAGACTCAAACGTTGAGGTGATGTCATTTTTATGCACTATCCAAATTTACTTGCCATTTATCCAAAGTCTCGTTTCAAAGAGTCGAATGTGTAACATCAGCAAGCTAGACAGCATGTAAACATGTTGTCCCCATCAGAGAATCACTGAGACCTCAGTTTCTGCTCAATAATCCTCACTGTGTACTCAGGCTAATGTGTGTCCTGTCCCAGTCCTCTTCTCCTCACCTCCTGGCAGGTAGTTGTTTCAATCGTCCCTGTTCTACACAGTTTTACTGCTTTAACAGGTCTGTCTGACCAGGTTTTGGGAAGAAATCAATCACAAGAGATATTAAAGCCCCTGAAGTCTGCCAGCTGCATAACAGGCCATCGAGCGATGAAAGACTGGGACTTGCAACCCAAACCAAAAAGCAGCTTCCCCAAGTTTCAGCAGGCTGAGCAAAGAGCTGTCTTTTGGGAAACTGTAAAGATGGACATTTAGCCAATTTCTGAGTCATCTGAAGCTACACTGGACACTGCAGTGCAGAATGTACGAGAGAGAGAACATTCCCACATTGGCAGAGGGGTGGATGAAGTGACCTAATCATGTACCTCCTTCATATCTGTGATTAGAGTTCATCCTGCACAGAAAAACGACAGTGGTTCCATCCCCACCACCACTACACACACATCACCTCAGCCAGCATAACTACAAAACGTCATCCCAGTTAGAAAGAACTGGAATCTACTGGAGGAATTTCTGAAAAGCAGCTATTTGTTTCTGGATCCATGGTTAGGGAGGTGGCAGACGTAACACTCGCTCGCAGGCACACCCTTGAAAGAGCCTTCCTATAAACTCTTTTTATTGGATGTAAAAGTTATTTCAGCTTCTGGGTGCAATTCAGGAAGTGGGTGATGCCTTACACAATGTTCTCACAGCACCAAAGCCAAAAATTATCTCAACTCAACTTATAGTAATAGTTGGGGGCTCCATTACCACAGGTGTCACTCACCAGCAGTTGCAGAGCTCCAGTACACTGCTCCGAGGTTCACATATGCTCATCTCATAGCACTGCCTTCCTTTCCACTGTCTTTATCTATTTTTCCATAGGTTGTCTCTAGCTGACACATGGTGATCCTGACTTCCATACAAAATTGGAATTGAAAGATCAAAATTAATATTTTTTTAAAATAACAAAGTTTAAATAGTTGCCCTAAATCAGGCTAATTGTTTGTAAACAGAGCCAGGCTAATTACTGCCCCCACCCAAGGTAACCAGCTTCAGCTGGGATCACTGAACAGGTATTTAAGCAGGAAAGTAGCCAGGGAGCCTTTTCCAGAGGGCAGTTAATTGTTTCTCTTCTTCTAGTCACCTTGGTCAACTAGTTTTTCTCTTGAAGGACCAGCCAACGGCACCAGCAGTACACTACCTTTGTAGGGGGAAGGTGTTGGCTGAAGAACTACTCATGTTCTTCTGCATGTGGGGAAGAAAACCACCTGATTCTGGGATTGAGGAGAGCTCTGAGGCCTGGAGAACCAACAACTTTACCCCAACTCCAACAGGGAATTGCCCTCTGGAGATTCTCAGGTAAGGCTGCTTGTTTTTCTTTTAGTAGAGACAACACTGCTTTACTTACACACAAGCATGTGGTACTAATCGATGTTAAAATGCTTATAATTCAGTTATGTTAAATTTAATACCTACTTTTATGAATTGGTGTAAGAATGAATGTATTTAATGGCTAGAGGAAAAAATCAAAAGGTCAAGAATTTTCTTAATAGATGTGTGAAAAAAATACTTTACAACTTAAGAATTGTGTTTGGGTTTAAGATAAAACACCTTAAAATCACATGGGGTCAGTGGTTGTACTTGAAAAAAGTCAATCCTGCTCTGTCTGTAAACTTAAATTCTCACGCAAATTCTATAAATTCTGTCTGTAAACTTAAATTCTCACACAAATAGCTGAAGTAAGGCAACGTGGTTACACTGGCTTTTTGGATGGCTACGCTTAACAGTGCTGTAACCATTTACTACTACACAAATATCTCGTGCTCCAGGAAAAATGTTCCCATGGAGTGTGAGTGCATGGTTTCTAAATGGCCAGTGGGTGTAGATAATTCAGCAGGAAAGCAGGAAAGCTAAAGTTTGATTTACATGGTGGCCAGTTTCCAGGCTGAGGAGGAAGCTGAAAACAAAAGATACGTTACAGGTTGTAAAAAGTTTTATTTTAAGTAAAATGAGCTCAACAATTTCCCTTTGAAGGCATAGTCAGGCTGCAACAGCTACCAAATATAGTTCACTTCCTGAGGGGCTGGCAGCAATGTGCATCAATGCTGTGTGGTTTCTGTACTGTGGAGATAGAAAATCTGGATTTACAAGGAGCCTGACCTTTACAGAACACACCAATGATGCACAGGAATTTCCCCCCACAAAGAACTGAACATGTGACTACGTTCTGTTCTTCTGTAATGTGGCATCTGTCAAATGCAGGAAATGGGCTGTTAAGAAAAGCCGTGTTAGCACTAGTGAGAGAACTTCACACCATCTCAGATGGATACCTGTTTCTCCACAAGGGCTCGATTCCCTCGGAACCCACCTTCACCTCATTCCGATGTGGTATGAGACACACTCAGAAGGTTACGTTAAGAAAGACCTGACAAATGTTATCAGCTTAGTGGTTTTCATCCCAGTTCTGCTGAGTCCCAGGAACCACCATGCAGTTACAGGAACCAGCAGGAGCCTCTCAGCACTTGAAATGGTTACACAGTTGAGAGATGTAGGGAGGAAGAAGCAGCAGCAGTGGAAAAATTGTACATCAGGGAGCTGATACTGGAAGGTTGCTAGTGGGATGAGACTCTGAGAAACACGAAATGTAAGGCCAAGCACTCCACAAGAGTTTAATCTTCCTACACTTCCTGCAACAGCTTGTTTTATTAGAAAGGTAATTAAAGGTTTTCAAGTAAATGGAAGTATCTACACGTGCAGTAACTCTGGGCTAGCCACAGCATTTCCTTTTCTAATGAGTCCAATCCTAAAGTGACTTTTCCAAAATTCTAACTCTACCTGATAATCAGTTATCTGCAGTAAATTATCTGAGGCTGCCTGTTTCTTTGCACTGTTTTCAAAAAATTCTGTGGTTTCCATGTACTTGAGTTGGGTTGTCTGTAGGGAAGACAGTCCTTCTTGCAATGCACTTAGTGTGTCCTTCAACAGACACCTGAATCACTTCTTTACCAAATCTCATTTCCACACTTGCTATTCTCATCCCTGTTTCAATTTTTTTTTTTCAAAAACCTGTAACAAATTTGGAATTTAACACACGCTTCTACACTAAGCCATGTTTCAGTTTTTAGACCAAGCTGATAATGATTAGCTATTTGATGCTACGGTTTGGTGGAACAAGCTTTTACTTTTTATTGAAACTGGAAGAGTTAGTGGAATATTTAACTGAAGTTATTGGTAGAGAGCAAGTTTAAGTACAGAGGGAACAGGAATAGATGCTGAAACAGGAATAAAGCTCACCCATTGCCTGTAAGCCTCTCTGTGCACCAAGGGACAATGGAAGCAGTATCCAAAACCCTACTATTCCATGTAAAAGGTTGAGGAGTGCTCTAGTTCTTTACATGGATGCAGTGACAGTGGCACTGGAGCTGCTCAGATTAAACTTTTGCTAAAAACACTAAGCCCTCTAGGCCTTGCGTTCCCCAGAATTCATGTAAGAGGAACAGCTCTTCATGACTACGTTGGACCACACGTTGGCATTCAAAGCTTGCACGATCCGTTTCACTCCGGTGGATTCTGGAAAGTCATCTAAACCAAAAGACAAAGACATTGCACTCCTAACAATTAGACCAGAAACAGTTACACGCCTGGAAGTATGTTGTTAAATAGCATATAAGTAAATTTAATAGTAATAGGCAATTTTTAATTTGCTGCTAAAAGCAAGGCATGTTTTACCCTGAGATCTTTTGGAATGCTGTATCACATAAAAACAGGTGCTAGAATTACTCTTCCTTCCTTTAGAAAGTAAAGAACTTCAGAGAACCATTTAAAAAAGGCATGATGCTTGCTAAAAATGGAAGTTATTGTTGTAAAGCTATGTCCACAGCATCTAACTCCAAACGTTCCCGTAATCCTGTGAATTAGTTACTTGAAAGGCTACGGAAAGCATTATTTGGACTTAACTTATTTACTGAATAGATCTGACACCACTTTGTACAAAGTCAGTTTTCCCATTTCCTCTGTGTAGTCAGCTTCCCATGTTTGTGCAGGTCTCACAAAGCAGAAGGGAAAAAAAATCTCCTTTGGCTATAAAAACATGATCGCTTAAAAATCAAACTCTTAGGATGACTGAGGGACAGGTGCAGCAATTGAAACTGCCCTTAAAAATTAATTTCAAGTTGTCTGTGACCTCTTGGATAGAACATTTTGCCCTCTGACACTGCTTTTTGGTTTTGTATCAGTCACTACCGAGAGTCTCAGCCTGGAGTTCTCACTTGTACTGCTGTAGTCAGAGCAAGAGCTCCAGCTCATTTGTGATGAGCTGCCACAAATGTCAGGGTTTTTAAACAGATACTGGCCCAGTATGTTTACTGCATCCATTTTATCTTTTGTAAGTAACTCATACAGCGTGTTTACAGGGTAAATATGTTACTCACTGGAATACGTTTCCTCCTATGCATGAGTCACAGTGAATCAATGACCATATTAAAAATCCAGGGAAGAACATATATTTTAATACTTCAAAGATTAACATCCTGAGTTATTATTCCCATTATTTAAATAGTAAATAGCTTGTTCTTTACAACAATTATTCAATAGAAAAAAAAAACTTAGTGTTACCAGCATTTCCTTTGAAAACACTTCATAAGAAAACTTTAAGGGGTACCAACGTCAAATTTTTCTGGTTTCTGTAAATCAAAAATGTGTATCCTCCCCTCTCTGACTAACAAAGTGCCAAAAAAAAAATGCATCTTGAAAGACAAGGTGGGGGCAGGAGAGGGGTTCTTAGCTACAAGATACAATTTTAATCTAGGCCTTTAAAGGGGCTGGGAGGGCAGGAACTTGAGTTCTAGCTTAGAAGACCTTTAGACTAAATAATTTTTGGTGACACCTATGCACTTGGTGAACCTGAAATAGAGCAAATGTTGGTGACTAATTCCACTCCTGGAAACGGAGCCTGTTATCTCCTTTTGGCTCTAGAGAGGCAAGATGTAAACACTTTTTTTGTGTCACTGAAATGAGGAGATAAGGTCAATGCTGATAAGGCTGTCAGGAAGCGCACAGTCACTTTTCAGGAGTGGAACATCACACTTCTGACTTTGCTCGATGGGTTTTTTCAAGTTCCAAACGTATGGTCAGCCAGTGATTTTGAAACTGGTTTATTTCCTGTATAACAGTGCATGCTATTCTCAAATGTTTTTTTTTCTTTGAGACTTCAGAAAGTCTCAAAAACAATCTCTCCTTTTCAGCCTATCACGTCACTGTTTGAATAATGTTTATCTTCTCTTGGTGTGTACGGTAGTTTTTAAAGTACTTTTAAAAAAAAGACAAAGAATTTTCCTGCCCTTGTGCATCTCTCTGGTTCTTGTTTTTTAGATTTATTTCCAAAGAGGAATATAAATGCTTCTAATCTATCAATACAGTCCCAGGATTAGTGCCAGAAAAAGGAGCAGATATTATTTTTATGTAGGTGCTACATAAACAGCAGCTGTATTTGGGAGGAGACAAATGGAATTTCTCGGAGGAAATAACCTCCTCCTCCTCCTGACCTTTTATAGCTGAGACTAAGCCTTACCAACTGGGAGCATTCCATGCTGCAATCATGTAGCACGTAAATAAAGTTATGGCTCTTGCAATTGTTCAGAAGATATTTCGGTGTGCTTTTTCACTCTAGAAGTTAAAACAGAAGTGGCAGTCCTACCATCTTCATCAGGCAGTTCCTCAGGGCTAAGTTCCACCAGTTCAAAGCCATGCTTGATGCACCATTCTTGAGCTTTCTGTCTGTTAACACCTAAAGCAGGGAAACAAAAATGCATACTAAACATGAATGTTTGAGACTAATATCAGCAGTTGAATCTTTAGCTACGTTTTATTCCTTCAAAGTTCTTTGCTTATTCTGGATTGTATGGGGGAAAGGTATATAGTCACTGGCATGGGTCCTCCATTCACTTCGAATTTGATTCCAGAAACTCCAGAGTTAAAACAAACTCCTCCTTTGAACTGTTTTTTTTCCAATACCATAAAATCAAACAGCTTTGCAGTGGGCACTCGAAGGGAAATGTAAGTGAGGTGCCACAGTGAATGAGGACTGGTAGTAACTCTAGGTCTGAATCTGAACTAAGTTACAGGGACACACCTGCACCTTACAGCTTGCTGTTGTGTTGCACACACTAATCCAGAACGAAAGCAAATGTGTACTTAATGTCCCAAAGGCCAAAAAACATGAATGTACTTTGTAGTTGAGCAACCAACAGTCATCCTCATTGTTCACCAGAGGATCCACACATCCAGTAACATAAATGCCTTATTAGTTACTTTGCAGTGCATGCTGGTACACCAGGAATGGGATACACAGAGCTCATTTCAAGCAAGCTTGTGAAATTCTAATTCAGTTTTAATCACAACTAGCTTATGACTCTTCTGTTCCCGGCCACGAGAGTAACCTTCTCAATTAAATCTCAAGCCCAGTCTCACACAGATATTTTAAGAAACAATTGTGTTGATTAACTAGAAAATAAATTATTAGGCAAGGTTAATAACTCTAAGTCAGTTTGGAACTTGTTTGGGTTTCATACCATTTTCAGATACTCTGTCACAAACCAGAATCATGACTTCTGGTAACCACTCTTCTGTTAGGGGAAGCCATTCAGAGACAGGATCGAGTCCAGATTTCTGAAGGGGAAAAAAAAAGTTCTTTGGAATACATCCTCAAATATTTTAGCTTTTAAACTAGTTTTAAATCATTAATAGTATTAGAATAAAAGCAGTGAAGTAAGGAAATATGCTAGGCTGCACATTGAGTATGTTTAAGACACTTGTGTTCTAATCGGAGAAGCTGACTTACAACTTCCTTCTGATTCTGGATTTACCTTACGTGTGAGTTAATCCTACTGACTTGGACCTCCTTTTCATGTTTAATATTAATTATGCAATCCTAGTGTAGACTAGGGAAGATTTTTACTTCCAGCTAATCATGAGTATTTCATTTGAAGCATGTTTTGGGTTTAATGTGCAACTACTCCATCTTCCACACTAAAGTGGATGTTATGGGGGCTGGTGAACTATTCTCATTGCTCTAGTTTATTCCGAGACAGCCCCAAGATGTCTGGTTGAAGGTATCTTTGCAGAATGTGTGGTATGCACCCTTTCCCATCTGTGGTGAAAAACAGTTCCTTATTTAGAATTTTTTTTTTGTCTCAGAATCCTCCTGGCTTTTGCTAAAGTACTGGTTTCGCTGCTGCCAGCTTAGTAGCAACGATCTGGGGTAAAACGATGGCACTGAATCTTTATGGCACTGAATTTAGCTCCCCCATTCCTGGCTATCCTAAAGCAGCCTTTCTGAACTAGTATCAGCTAGGAGTAAAGTTGGGAATGGTGGGCTGGAGGAGGGTTTGCCTAACTCAGTGGCACATTTGCATAACCTCTCTTCCAGCTGGAGTATAATAGTAAAAGGGAAGGAAACTGTTTCCATTGTTAGCAGGCATAATTTAACATTGATTTACTGACAATTAATAGAACAGCCTGAAAGGAATGGCTGGCACAAGATGAAGAGGAGTATAATTTGTGGTTGGCACTGTGATAAGGCAACTATGTCACACGGACAAGGCAATACAATGAAGAAGTCTTACTATTGTGCTGTCGAAGTACACAACAAATGCTTGCACGGATTCAGCAATATCTTCAGTAACAAGAAATGTGTTTGGTACTACACAGAGGTGAATATCTGCAGAATAATATTTATTATCTATTGTCCAGGGGTAAAAATTCACTTTTCCACTTGTAGTTGCACCCACAGCGACGTCATCTCTTCCTGTGATACCTGTATAAAAGAAAATGAACAAGGCAGATGATAAAAGCAGCATCAATAAAATAAGTTTCTTATTTAGCTTTCAAAAGAGTTTATTATCTAGCTTTCAAAATAAAATATGGTACAGAAGCTCTTTAGAAAGCAAGCCTTTTTTCCTGGAAATGTCTTTTAAAGTGTCAAACTCACTACCTGTAAACAGGATGTATGGAGAGAATACCTAGACTTTATTACAGCAGAAACAAACCTTGCATGTTCCTTCAGATGTAAAGAACTGTTGGGCTGTGACCAAAACCTGAAGGTAACTAATGAGAAAATAAACCAAGTGACTCCGATTCAGTTGTAATTCCCATTAAATTCCAGGTAGGAGTTGGACAATTAAAATCCAAGGCAGTGCTTTGATAATGTAAGGTTAAACAGTGCCCTTCATGTGTGGTTAGCAACCTTCCCAGTGCACACTCAGAGCGTGACAGCCACCTGGTGGAAGTGAATTATAGACAGCAGAGCATCCCATCCATCCCTGGGAAGGGCAGAATATCTTGGTCGAGCTGAACAAACCCATGGAAACTTTAGAACACAGGTCAGTTATATATAATATTGACTGAGTCATCTAGAATTTTCTTGGGCATCAGAAGAGTTAAAAAAAAATGAAATAAAGTATATGGGCTTTCAGAGATCTTAAGGGTCATGTTTTACAGGTACTGAGATGTTCCTGGAGATGCTAGAACAGGCTGTTCTCCAAATAGTCTGGACACCAATTTGAAATTATCTGTATCTTATCAATAAAAAGGCAGGAAAAACTCATTGCGAAGGCTGCCATAGAAAGGTTCAGTGATTTGTGCATCCAATGGTGAAGTCTGAGAATTTTAACTGGTGAAAGAGCGTGGTGCACCAGGCAGCGCAAAGGAGAGCTCTAAACTCTAAAGGATTATTTGCAGCAGGGAGGAGGAGGACATGGTAAATCTGAGGGCAAAATTTGACCTCAAAAGCAAGGTCCTGCGCATGCGTTGGGGCAATCCCAAGCACAAGGACAGGCTGGGCAGAGAATGGGTTGAGAGCAGCCCTGAGGAAAAGGACTTGGGGGTGTTGGGTGATGAGAAGCTCAACATGAGCCGGCACCGTGTGCTGGCAGCCCAGAAAGCCAACCGTGTCCTGGGCTGCATCCACAGCAGCGTGGGCAGCAGGGCGAGGGAGGGGATTCTGCCCCTCTGCTCTGCTCTCCTGAGACCCCCCTGCAGTGCTGCCTTCAGCTCTGGGGTCCCCAACATCAGAAGGACATGGAGCTGTTGGAGCAGGTCCAGAGGAGGCCACGGAGGTGATTCAAGGGCTGGAGCACCTCTGCTATGGAGACAGGCTGAGAGAGTTGGGGCTGTTCAGCCTGGAGAAGAGAAGGCTCCGGGGTGATCTTATTGCAGCCTTCCAGTACCTAACGGGGCTACAGGAAAGCTGAAGAGGGACTTTTTACAAGGGCGTGTAGTGACAGGACAAGGGGCAATGGCTTTAAACTGAAAGAGGGCAGATTTAGATTGGATATGAGGAAGAAATTTTTCACTCAGAAGTTGGTGAGGCACTGGACCAGGTTGCCCGGAGAAGTTGTGGCTGCCCCATCCCTGGCAGTGTTCCAGGCCAGGTTGGATGAGGCTTTGGGCAACCTGGTGTAGTGGAGGGTGTCCCTGCCCATGGCAGGGGGTTTGGAACTGGGTGATCTTTGAGGTCCCTTCCAACCCAAACCATTCTGTGATTCTAGTAAAACAGATTATCCAATGACAGTATGGCACTTGACAAAACCTACAGCTTTAATGTACATGTTCTAATACAGGTGTTTTGGCAGATGACAAATAAAACAGAAGCTTTATGAATAACTACTCAAGTACTAGACATGGTATGATTTAGTTCTGCATCTTTGGTAAACAGGACCACATTTAATATGTGCCAATTGCTACTCGACCAGGAGTTTCTTTTCCATGGATATTGAGGCTAAAGGAGGCAGCTTCCACTCTGCTTAGATATAACGTAGAAAATTCTAGCAACTAGGAGGGGAAACAGGTTAGGCAGACAAATGCCACTGTGCGTGTTCAAAACACAGGGATGCTTTTTTCCAGAGTTATCTGTTGCCTAGCTTTTCAAATGCAGGCATAATCTTCATTTTCTGCCCTTAAAACCAGATGTTTTGTTTGGAGGTTTTGAATGCTACACAAAATGTTATACGTTTCCCTTCACTAATTAAAAATAAAAATTAAAAATACATAAGCAGAAATCAGTTCTAAGCTAACGGATTTGCAAGTCAATGCCATAAGTGGCTAAGAATAAAGGAGCCCGTTGAAATTACTGAAACCCCGAAAATCAGCAGAGACTTAAAAAGGCAAAGGAAGGAAAAGAGTGAGGCAAGGAAGTCGGTTCAAAAGTCACCCAGTGAAGTTTGCCACCCGAGCAAGAATACAAAAGGAAAGAACTTCCTAGAAAAGATTTCAAAAGCTGATGTGAAAGAACTTTCACGTTTGCTTTGTAATAGATTTTTTTTTTTCCTTACAAAAGAGTTCATGGACAAATTAAGGCCTTAAAGCACTGCTAGAAGAAGGAGGACGTGTTCCATTTCCTACTACAGCCACTGTTCCTGTATTTTAAGCGGTCTCTTTCATCCCATTGTGCTTCTGATTAGCCATCCTTCACCCAAAGACTTTGCCAGTCCCTTGTGAAATTTCGCTCCCAGTAAAAATTGGATGTTGCACATGGAACTCAAAGGACTGCAGGAACTTTCCGCAAGGATTGAGACTTGCCATGTCCCAGCCTGCAGGTAGGGTTGTAACAAATTACTGCAGAACAGCCTCACGGCAGGAAGTGAACCGCAGTTTGGGAACCGTGTGAACAGTTCTCCTCCCTAAAAGTCACTCAGACCAGTTGGGTTTTGGCTTTAAACAAGCAGAAACTACAAAAGAAACATGCACTGCGACTCCAACTGAGTTGTCAAGGATATATTCTGTGTTGGGACTAGTTCACCTCCCAATTCCAGCAATTTCTTGCCAAGATAGCCTGTATTTTAATGAAAAAAGTAAATTCAGAGCAGCTTCATATCTAATTTAGAGAATATTCACCAGAATAAACCCCATTAAGTTTTATTTGGGTACAGAATAAACTTCTAGAACATTAATCTGGCAGAAGGAGGTGGCTTGTCCAACTTCTCTCTAGTGAGTTCCTCAGTTTTAATTTTCATCTCCCCAGCCATTGCAAGTGTCAGTGGTTTGCCACCCAAAGAGCCTGGAAAACCACCGGAGTCACTCTGACCACAACAGCAGGCAGGCCTGCGGGGCTGCCTCAATTAGCTTGCCTTCTCATGGAGCAGAAGTGGCTCCTGGGTGAAAAAGACTCCAAATACATCACCGTTAGAGAGGACTAAAAACACCCATGGAAAAGTTCATGCCACAAAAGAACATTCGAAAACATGATTTAGAGTTCAAGGTCCTCCAAGATACACCGCAACGGCCAACATGGGACACTTATTTTGTTTTCACAGTCTTACCCATGACTGCTGGACACTAATTAAGACATGATGTATCTTGGTGTCCTACACTTCTGCATGAAAGCACTTTAGAGCAGCAGAAGCTTCTTCATCTACAGTGAATTATTCGAGGCCAGGGACCATTTCTGAGCCAGCCCCAGTATCGCCCTGGGGCCATTGCCTCCTGCATGCATTGGCACCGTCCACCTGTGCAACCTCCAAAGCCCCTGCACTAATGTCAACGTGCACTGAGATCACACTGGTTGGACATGGACAATTATCTTCCTCCAGTTTATCCCAGTTCACAACTCACTTTGCCCATTTTCTATGAGAAAACCATTTAAGAACTCAATAGCAACTGACACAAGCTCAGTTCATGGCTCAGTCCAGTAACCAAGAGTGACTGGTGTCGTATAGCTCAAGGAACTTCCAAACTTCTGTGGAATATGTTCAGAGGAAAAGGGTTTTTTACTTCCAGGCAATCAGTCGCTAGCTTGTTTTTCTCCAAGCTCATTAGTTGTGTCCCTTCACTCACAAATATCTAATTTTTCATAAAGCGGACAAAATTTTGACCGATACTTTTGGAAATTAATTCCAGCTATTTACATAAATGTTTGCTCATTTTACTGACTTAAACTTGTTGACTCCTAATTTCCTGAGTTAGACAAGACAAACTAAACCATGGTTCAGAAGACAAGGAAGAGGACATGGTGAAACTGTAAAACCCAACATCCATCCCCTTCTGTAATGCAGAGGCTTAGTAAGTGTTCTGCCAGTGCAAGGCAGCAAATACTTTTTCAAATGGAGAACTGGAGACCAGAAATAACTTTTCAGAAAAGAGCTGAATAATAATCAAAGAACCAGATGTAGATCTCTTGCTGCAGTGCTCCCTGTTCTCTAACACCCAACTGAGATTTAAGCACTTCTTCTGTATTGTGCGTTTCATTGTAATTTTTTTTTAGAATAATTACAACCTGTCTTTGACGGTTTGTTGTGGTTTTTTTTTTTCCAAAGGGATTACGGTACTGATCTCTCTTCACAGTGTTTTTCAGATTGAATACATGCTGTAAGAACATAATTCAGTTTTCTACAATGCCCTACCTGATCTCAAGTCCTCTCAGTTGGTAGGTGCACCAAGTAGTTCTCACAGGCTGGGCCTTGAGAGCCACCTGGTGGAATACACCATAAAAAAAAAAAACTCCTGCGAATTACACAGGGAGTAAAGAGAACACAGGAATATCCATTCAGTGTAGATATTTTGCTGTGGGGAAGATGGAATGATAAACAGTCAGAAAAGAGAAAAAAGCAAACTCACATCAGACAGGATTTATGTCGGCCAGCGTTTTTAAAAACTCATTTTATTTGCTGTTTTAATTTGTGATAAATATATCTAAGAGAAGAGCCAATCCTACTCTGCGCATTTTAAATAGCTTTGTTTTGCCATAGTATCTCATAAAATAAAGCATTCAGAGTATCCCATGGAAATTTGAAAGAATAAAAACATATCTAGCAA